TCCAAGCCTAGCGCTGTAGTTGTCCAAGCCTAGCGCTGTAGTTGTCCAAGCCTAGTGCTGTAGTTGTCCAAGCCTAGCGCTGTAGTTGTCCAAGCCTAGCGCTGTAGTTGTCCAAGCCTAGCGCTGTAGTTGTCCAAGCCTAGCGCTGTAGTTGTCCAAGCCTAGTGCTCTAGTTGTCCAAGCCTAGTGCTCTAGTTGTCCAAGCCTAGCGCTGTAGTTGTCCAAGCCTAGCGCTGTAGTTGTTCAAGCCTAGCGCTGTAGTTGTCCAAGCCTAGCGCTGTAGTTGTCCAAGCCTAGCGCTGTAGTTGTCCAAGCCTAGCGCTGTAGTTGTCCAAGCCTAGCGCTGTAGTTATTCAAGCCTAGCGCTGTAGTTGTCCAAGCCTAGCGCTGTAGTTGTCCAAGCCTAGCGTTGTAGTTGTCCAAGCCTAGCGTTGTAGTTGTCCAAGCCTAGCGCTATAGTTGTCCAAGCCTAGCGCTGTAGTTGTCCAAGCCTAGTGCTGTAGTTGTCCAAGCCTAGTGCTGTAGTTGTCCAAGCCTAGCGCTGTAGTTGTCCAAGCCTAGCGCTGTAGTTGTCCAAGCCTAGCGCTGTAGTTGTCCAAGCCTAGCGCTGTAGTTGTCCAAGCCTAGCGCTGTAGTTGTCCAAGCCTAGCGCTGTAGTTGTCCAAGCCTAGCGCTGTAGTTGTCCAAGCCTAGCGCTGTAGTTGTCCAAGCCTAGCGCTGTAGTTGTCCAAGCCTAGCGCTGTAGTTGTCCAAGCCTAGCGCTGTAGTTGTCCAAGCCTAGTGCTCTAGTTATCCAAGCCTAGCGCTGTAGTTGTCCAAGCCTAGCGCTGTAGTTGTCCAAGCCTAGCGCTGTAGTTGTCCAAGCCTAGCGCTGTAGTTGTCCAAGCCTAGCGTTGTAGTTGTCCAAGCCTAGCGCTGCAGTTGTCCAAGCCTAGCGCTGCAGTTGTCCAAGCCTAGCGCTGTAGTTGTCCAAGCCTAGCGCTGCAGTTGTCCAAGCCTAGCGCTGCAGTTGTCCAAGCCTAGCGCTGTAGTTGTCCAAGCCTAGCGTTGTAGTTGTCCAAGCCTAGCGCTGCAGTTGTCCAAGCCTAGCGCTGTAGTTGTCCAAGCCTAGCGCTGCAGTTGTCCAAGCCTAGCGCTGCAGTTGTCCAAGCCTAGCGCTGTAGTTGTCCAAGCCTAGCGCTGCAATTAAAAAAAAAAGCTTGGTGATGGAGTGTGGGAGGGGATAATTTTACATTTATGAACACAAAGGGATGCGATATAATGCCTCCATTAATATTGTCGCATGAAATATGAACGCTTATTATGGCATTTCGTCGTAATTAATTTGACAGGGAAATAAAATGCAGGCAGAGAGTCTGGCGGAAGTGGCCTGGTGGGGGGGAGGGAGAATTTTGGAAACTTTTTTTTTTTGGGTGGAGGGAGAGATTGCTGGTGATTTTTGTAAATCCATTATACAGAATACTGTGCATAACAGATTTATTGCAACTTCAGCTTTTGAAGTTGCCATTACATCTAAAGGTCGCTTAAAGACTTGCTTGTGAGCTAATAACCCCCCCCCCTTGCTAAGACTATGAAATCTGTAATGTAAAATACAACCATTTTTGTATACACGGTTACCATATAAACAATGAATACAGTCGGTAGTAAGTCGGGCTTTTAAAATATTGTTTGTGAGCCAAGGGCGAGTGTCGAGGGTGCCAGCAGATACTTGTCAAGTTCCAGTGGTCATCATCAGCCTACCAGCAGATACTTGTCAAGTTCCAGTGGTCATCAACAGCCTACCAGCAGATACTTGTCAAGTTCCAGTGGTCATCAACAGCCTACCTGCAGATACTTGTCAAGTTCCAGTGGTCATCAACAGCCTACCAGCAGATACTTGTCAAGTTCCAGTGGTCATCAACAGCCTACCAGCAGATACTTGTCAAGTTCCAGTGGTCACCAACAGCCTACCTGCAGATACTTGTCAAGTTCCAGTGGTCACCAACAGCCTACCAGCAGATACTTGTCAAGTTCCAGTGGTCACCAACAGCCTACCTGCAGATACTTGTCAAGTTCCAGTGGTCACCAACAGCCTACCAGCAGATACTTGTCAAGTTCCAGTGGTCACCAACAGCCTACCAGCAGATACTTGTCAAGTTCCAGTGGTCACCAACAGCCTACCTGCAGATACTTGTCAAGTTCCAGTGGTCACCAACAGCCTACCTGCAGATACTTGTCAAGTTCCAGTGGTCACCAACAGCCTACCAGCAGATACTTGTCAAGTTCCAGTGGTCACCAACAGCCTACCTGCAGATACTTTTCAAGTTCCAGTGGTCACCAACAGCCTACCAGCAGATACTTGTCAAGTTCCAGTGGTCATCAACAGCCTACCAGCAGATACTTGTCAAGTTCCAGTGGTCACCAACAGCCTACCTGCAGATACTTGTCAAGTTCCAGTGGTCACCAACAGCCTACCAGCAGATACTTGTCAAGTTCCAGTGGTCACCAACAGACTACCAGCAGATACTTGTCAAGTTCCAGTGGTCACCAACAGCCTACCTGCAGATACTTGTCAAGTTCCAGTGGTCACCAACAGACTACCAGCAGATACTTGTCAAGTTCCAGTGGTCACCAACAGCCTGCCAGCAGATACTTGTCAAGTTCCAGTGGTCATCAACAGACTTCCAGCAGCAGACAAGGACGAACCGCTACCACTTAAATCTACGGATAGCTTCAAACCCCTAATATCTAGGTTCATGGAACAACGTTTTATATATATATAATAATTACGAGTTGACAATTTGTTTCATAGGTACATTATGAGGGAGTGGGTATTAGGCAAATAGATATGAGGAATGTAATGAATGTAAATAGTTTTCGGCGTTTGGGAAGATGGCAACAGCGTGCGCGGGGCTCGGTGTTGACCACTCAGGAGTTGTCATTTATTTTCATTCAAACCTGCAGTGGGAAAAGCGTTGCCTCTCTCCCCCCCTCCCCCCTCCCCCTACCCTTCTGTAAAGTCCTCTAGTTTTTCATAATGAAATATGAAAGTTCAGAGATAGAATTTGTAATATGCTGATTTCCCACAACATGGTTAATAAGTTGTATATGTATGTACATATATCTAATGTGACAGTTTTCAGAAAAGGCAGATCTCATTTTTTTTGCCCGAGACGCTATGCGTATTTAGTGGCTTTAGGTATTTGTATGTACTAGCGCTTATCTATAAATCCAAAATTATGTTTGTAACTCATCTTCTATGTATGTACTTTTACCTGAATAAACAGTTTTGATTTGCGTTCAACAGTCGCATGTTCCCTGTTTATCTTCAATTGTCACTCCCCCGTGGCCGCCTCGATGCATATTTCACATATTCTATCATTGTTTATACTGGATGTATGTATGTGCCTCTAAAACATCTACCCCGCTGCCTCTAAAACATCTACCCCGCTGCCTCTAAACATCTACCCCACAGTGGCTCCGGGTAGATAGATTTATTGGCGGCAAAAGAGGGAAACATGTCGGGGTTGGCGGGAGAAGCGTGTGTCGCTCGTGCGCGCGCGCGGGGACCTGGCCATCTGTCCCTCCCTCACTCTGTTCTCCCTCCCTGTCTTCCTCCCCGGTCCCTTATCCCCCTCCCTCACCCTACCTCTCCCTCACCCATCCCGTCTGGGCCCCCGTCTCTCCTCCCCTCCCATCGTCGCTTCCCACCCATCCACCCAGTTTTCCGGTGTTGCCAAGCATGAGGCCGTGAATTATGGAGGCATGGGAAACAATTATTCTGGCGGCATGTATAGTTCTGTATGCACGTATGTATATGTGTGCGGTGACTTGGATTACAGGATAGCTAGCTGCGCAGGAAGCCCGCGGTGGTAGTCTTGTGTGTGTGTGTGGCACTTGGTCGCTGATATCCACAGACGGAGATAGATAGTTCTGGTCCCCTAGTTAATTCTTTCATAACTGGGTCTTTGTTTCTGTGTATCAGTCTCTTATATTATTCTCCTACCCTTGCTGCTAGGTTCCTTTCAAAGTTAACGAATAGGAAATGGTTTATACTTGGAGCGCCTCCTTTCCCTGCTATGAGAAACTATGGGATATTAAAATGTCTACCTTAACTTAGTACTACTTATTGGTTTTGGAGTTTTCGCTCTTGGAAGTTTATCATATATTTGTATTGAAAATGTAGCAGTCAATTCTTCTTGTTGTTCTTGGATTCCCCGACTTAAGACCTGGAGGCCATCACCACCCTCCTCAATGTTTAGGGGGGGGGGTCTTAGTGGAGGGTTGGTTGAGGGGGGAGACGGGGTAGACAGTTAGGGAAGGGGAGTGGTAGGTAGCTATAGGGAAGAGGGAGGTAGATATGTGGTAGGCACCAGGGGAAGGGAAGATGAGGTAGCTAGGGGAGGGAGGGAGGTAGATGTATGGTAGACAGCCAGGGGAGGGAAAGATGAGGTAGCTAGGGGAGGGAGGGAGGTAGATGTATGGTAGACAGCCAGGGGAGGGAAAGATGAGGTAGCTAGGGGAGGGAAAGATGAGGTAGCTAGGGGAGGGAGGTAGATGTATGGTAGACAGCCAGGGGAAGGTAAGGTGAGGTAGGTAGGAGGAGAGAGAGAGAGGTGGAGGGAGGAGAGAGAGAGAGAGAGAGAGAGAGAGAGAGAGAGAGAGAGAGAGAGAGAGAGAGAGAGAGAGAGAGAGAGAGAGAGAGAGAGGGAGAGAGAGAGAGAGAGAGAGAGAGAGAGAGAGAGAGAGAGAGGAGAGAGAGAGAGAGAGAGAGAGAGAGAGAGAGAGAGAGAGAGAGAGAGAGAGAGAGAGAGAGAGAGAGAGAGAGAGAGAGAGAGAGAGAGAGAGAGAGAGAGAGAGAGAGAGAGAGGAGAGAGAGAGAGAGAGAGAGAGAGAGAGAGAGAGGTGGAGAGAGAGAGAGGGGGGAGGAGGGAGGGAGGTGGGGGGAAGAGAGGGAGGGAGGGAGGGAGGGTGGAGGGGGAGGAGGAGCAGCAGCTGCCGTGTGAGGAGGAGCGGGTGGTGGAGGGTCAGTCTCTAGTCAGCCGTCGTCAGGGCAGCGTGTACACCGCCTCGCTCCGCGCACTCCTCCTTCCACCCTCCTGCTCCAGCCAGGATTGATTTTAGTGTGCCTTGATAAAACTCGCGCCCCAACCCGCCCCCCTCAAGGATTATGCATTTGCGCGTCAGGACTACGACAGTGAACGGTACTTTGAAACAGTAGTGAAGAACTGTTCTTAACTAGTGGAATAGGTTTTGTTTAAAAGACAGAAGAGCAAAAAGTACTCCAATCGGGCACAGTGTTGTTAGTACATGTTACAAAACTGTACTGTACTGTAACTCTCCCTGGATGTACTGTACCACAAGCAGGGGCCCCCAGCCACTGTGATGCCTGCCCTGTGTATTGAAGAGTACGCCGCTGAACCCACTGTCACTTGCTACACAGCGGGACCCATTTTCAAGAAAATGAAAGTCTTGAAGAAATTCAAGAGACGCATGGGATTAAGTTAGTATATATAGACTGTTTGTGCGTTTGTTTGGCGACAGTGTTGTGTGTGTGTGTGTGTGTGTTCGACTTGAGGTGACGGAGGTGGTCTTGAAGTGTCTTAGATATGTATACATTATATAATATATCTATATCCTTTAATTGCTAAGGAGTTTACCAATGTGTGGTTTAAGGAAGGATAGGTGGCTTAGGAGGGGGAAGGGGCTTGGTAGGTTTGTGGGGTTGGTGAGGGAGGGGGAGGGTTGTGTGGCTTACGTATGCGGGGTGGGTGAGGTAGTTGGGTTGGCTGGTTTAGCAGTTTGTGGGGTTGAAGTTGGGGGGGGGGGGGTTTAGCAGATGTGTGGGGTTTGTCGTTTTGTCTGACGTGGGTAAGGGAGGGAGGGCTGGCTGGCTTAGCAAACGTGTGGGGTGTAAGAGGGGGGGGGTAAGGGAGGGAGGGCTGGCTGGCTTAGCAAACGTGTGGGGTGTAAGAGGGGGGTTGGGGTGGGAGAGGGAGGGCTGGGTGGCTTAGCAAACGTGTGGGGTGTAAGAGGGGGGTTGGGGTGGGAGAGGGAGGGCTGGGTGGCTTAACAAACGTGTGGGGTGGGAGAGGGAAGGAAGGGTAAGCAATGTGGTGAGGGCCGCGGCACGGGCGACGGTGCTTCACATCCGGTAACTCTGACTTCCGGCGGTCCCCCTCTGGAGGGCGGGAGGGGGGGGGGGTAAGGGATAGAAAGGAGGGAGGGGAAGGGGGTAGGGGATAGAAATGGGGAGGGGAGGGGGTAAGGGATAGAAAGGAGGAAGGGGAGGGGGTAGGAGATAGGAGGGCGGGGAGGGGTAGGAGATAGGAGGGCGGGGAGGGGGTAGGAGATAGGAGGGCGGGGAGGGGGTGGGGGATAGAAAGGAGAGAGGGGAGGGGGTAGGGGATAGGAGGGCGGGGAGGGGGTAGGGGATAGAAAGGAGGGGGGGTGTAATAGCCCTCGCTACCCCCCTCTCATAATTTGTTATTCACGTAAATGGTGAAATTTGTATCTGGGACTAGCAGTTATTTTACAATTATTCCTTCAGTTGACGTCTTGGCTGGTCATAGGTGTTTCAGAATCTATTGAAGTATTTACCTTGAGTTTTAATTGAAACTAACAGTATGGATATATGAGTTTGCACATAATGCTCTCCTTTAAATGGTGACGATAAAAAATGTTTAAATATTACCATGTGTACATAGTGGTGGATTATTAAGTTATTACAATTGCCTGCATTGTTAATTGATTTAGGTTCATGATTTATAACTGTTAGTCTGGTCAAAAATGCGTTTGATACAGCTGCGCATGAACCCTATATGAACTTGATGCCTTATTGATTTCACAACCACTGTAGCTAAACGGAGAAAGTGCGGGGTATTTTACTTAAATTATTTTGTAATCCAGTTTTGAAATGTTTGTTGTACATGTGTTTAATAGTGTGTATCGGGTGATGCAAGGTGAGCACGAGAATGCACTCGGAACTCCGTCAGTTCCACCATAACAAAGCGCTTCTTCTCTGCACGGTTGAACAGCAAAACAGATGACCCTTTCTCTTGACCTGGTTTACGGGGAGGGGGGAGGGGGCGTCGTGGGCCATCTAGGTGACCTGGCGTGAGTATGGGGCGTGGGATTCGTCCCACCCGCCTCGCAAGCTGTTGCTGCAAGATTATTATCCCCCCCCTTCTCCCCTCTCCCCCCCCCCCCACGCATCTTCCCTTCATGTGGGGATGCTTTGGTGAGAGATGGTACGGCCTGTCGAATAGCGGGTGCGGTGTTTAGTCTGTGATTGGCATTGGAGAGGGGATAGTGCTCGTTTCGGGTGGACATGGAATGTTAGTGTGGCAATGTTAGATGGGGGTTACACGTATTTATATGATTGCAAGTAGATATGATTGAACCATTATTGATAGACGGGGCGCATCCGATCCCACGATCGTCGTCGCCCCTAAATCAACAACAACAACATTATTGATAGTTAGGCATAAGCTGTACAGAGTACTGTTGTTGTAAGAAAGAAACGGATGGGATACTAGGGGTTTGATCTTGGCAGTAACTAGGTGGTGTGAGGTAGATGTTGTGCTTCATATGTCCACCTTGACAACTTTTTGATGACTACTAAATCATTAATGTTTATTACTGAAGTATCTATACTTCCTCAATGCAAACCTGCCGTTGATCTTATAACATCTCGTGTCTTTTTAAAGTTTTATTTTAAATAACATTATCTAGAAAGTACAATTTTGTTTTAAAGTTTGGGTTTTTGGTATTTAAATTACCTAAATTGTAATTAGGCCATAATTTTACTTTAGCAAAAACCAAATGTAAGTCGTCAATAAATTTTATTTTCGCCGGCTATTGCACAAAATTTGCGTGTGAAAGCACTATATAATATTCTTATAATTTCTCATAATTATTTTTTTTCTTTTCAGCTGGTCGTGGGTCGGGGTCGTCTAACCTGCCGCCGCTGACATTTCACCAAGTATGTGGCGACAACGTGCGCATCTCCAACGACGGCAAGGTTGCGCGTAGGGCAGAGAGCTTCTGCAAGGGCATTGCCTTCTCCAGTCGCCCCATCAAGATAGGCGAGCGCGTCTGCTTGCGTCTTCTGGAAGTGTCCACTAACTGGTCGGGAGTCATCCGCTTTGGGTTTACGTCACAGGACCCGGCTGGCCTCCGTGACGCACTCCCAAAGTATGCCTGTCCTGACCTGACCAACAAGCCGGGCTACTGGGCCAAGGCTCTCGGTGAACGCTTCGCCGAACAAGGCAGTGTTCTTTTTTACTATGTCGACTCTACCGGAGATGTTCACTTTGGTATCAACGGTGAAGAGAGAGGCGTGTTCTTCGGTGGCGTAGACACACGCTCACAACTCTGGGGTCTGTTCGACGTGTACGGCAACAGCACAGCAGTGGAGTTTCTGGACCCACTCGCCCAGCTCAACAACAGAGTGCGAATAATGAATGATCTGAGTCCCGGTTCTTCTGCGGCCAACTCTAGAGTGCTGCCTCAGTCGCAAACTCAGGTTCCATCCCAACAGGCACCACCACCACAAACGCAGCCACCGCAGCCACCAAGACCAGACTCTGGCGTTGACAGGTTACAACCGTCCATGGCACAGCTGGCATTGACACCCCGGTCTCCCGACGTCCTACCTCTGCGGCACTACGCCCACACAACCTTCACGCCCCTTCCCTTCCACCGTGTTCGTGGCCGGAACGTACGCATGAACAACGACCGCACTGTTGCAGCTCGCACAGAGACTGAATACTCTCATGGCTACGTCTTCACAGCCCGGCCTCTACGGCCCGGGGAGAAGTTAGTGGTGCAGGTTCTCCACACAGAGGCCATGTATGTAGGCGCCCTCGCCTTTGGCTTAACGTCATCCAACCCAGCTGGATTAGAACCCACAGACCTTCCTGAAGACTGCGACCTTCTGCTTGACCGTCCTGAATACTGGGTGGTGAGTAAAGATGTGGCAGCTTCCCCACAAGCCGGCGATGAGCTGGCCTTTGCTCTCACACACCACGGCGAGGTTACCTTCTCGCGGAATGGCGCCACCCCGCAAGTGTTCATGCACGTGGATCATACTCTGCAATTGTGGGCCTTCTTCGACGTCTACGGCAACACCAGCAAGATTCGCAGCCTAGGTGTCACCCACGAAACGCAGCAGACTTATGCACAACAGAATGGTGAGTTAGCTTGGATGTTGCTTGAAATGTGGGGGAGGGGAAGGAGATTGACTTATGATGAGCAGTACATTTGCTCAAAAGTTCAAACATAACACTTGCACTTACAGTATATTGTTTTTATACCTTTGACACTAAATTACTGTTTTTTCTTCCAGCTTCGAATTCTCCTCCTCGTCGCCCAGATCCCGTGGGGCGCCCATCTCATCCTCAGTTATCACGGGCATCACCCCTGGTAGTGAGCTTGCCGCCCAGCCCACCCTCTCCACCCGCCACCCACCCTCACCCAGCACCCCCCGTGCCCTCCTCTCGTGACACGCTCGGCGGTCACGGTACAATGTCATCAGTGTACAGTGGTGCCTACATGGAGCCAGTGTCTGCCACCTCCACCTTGACCTCCATGGGCGAACTACCAGCCGGTACCGCCCTGCACGAGTGTACTGTCTGCTATGAGAAACCCGTAGACTCTGTGTTGTATATGTGCGGTCATATGTGTATGTGCTACGAGTGTGCGCTGCAACAGTGGCGAGGGCGTGGCGGTGGTCAGTGCCCCATCTGCCGTGCCGTGATCCGGGACGTGATCCGCACCTACCGGTCATGACGGGGTCCCCCGGACTCCCCAGACCTCACGCCCCGCCCACCACCACCACCCGTGGGTCAACAGCCCTCGGGTCCACGTGTGGACGTGAGTGTGGACGACCCGTGATACCTGCTCATACCAAAGGTGGTTTATATAGTGCCGCGCCTGGCGCTGGCCAGGGCCGCAATGTCTAGTCCTGCCCTGCCGCTCATACCTCGGTATGTGCTGCGCCCCCCCTCCCCCATTGTCTATGTATGCGAGATCTGCGTTTGGTGTGGCCCCTGGGTGTTTCGAGCCCATGTGTGCTTGCGTGTGTATGTATGTATTTGTGTGTACATACAGTGTAGCCCTGGGTGTTTCCGGCTGCCCCCTACCTCTGGTCTAAGTCAGTTGTGTTAGTGTGTACATAAGGAAAAGTCCGGTGGGAGGGCACAGTCAGTCCCCCGCCCTCCACCCTTTATCCCCTGGCCATCGCCCCCTGCCTGGCCCTCTGTATATAGCTCCTCATTTATTTATGGGAGACCCACCCTGTCCTTGTAAACTCTATCATTGTTTTTATACTATGGGTACCATGAGAATAAATGGTTTTTTATATTCATTCACTGCATTATTCATTTTATTGTGGATGGGAAGCCATTGTTTCATTCAATCATTTCATCATCACTTGGAAAATTAAATAAAAATCCAGACGATTTTTTATCTTGTCTTTCATCCTAAATTAGGCTATAATGGCCAGTAAGGCCCCAAGTGCTCTCGTGTACTTCACCCGGGTGCTTGTAATGCTGGAAACACTCTAGTACTTGTACTGGAAACATCTTATACTCAGATGGATAAGATACTCTGCTGTAATTCTGAAATATATTTAACAAAAATGCCACTTATTTAAATCTTGTATCTAAAGTTATCTCCTGGCAACTTGATGTAACGCCAATCTACATATTCTTACCCAAAATGCATTCGATTGAAATATTTTTTTTTCCTTAGTTGAATTGCAGGATGGGTGGAAAATTTTCGCTCTACCCCCCCCCCCCCCCCCCTTTTTCTCGGTTGATGAAATCCACTTGATTTAATTCCATATATTTGTGCAGTACTGCAATTTAGAGCCTAGCACGGTAAAATAATATGCTTTATTTTTTTGTTCTTTTACACAATTGAAATTTAATGTAGCAGGAATAACTAAAAAAAAAACCTGGCTGGCCCCATTCTGGAAGCTGCAGGAACGGCAAGGAGCTGGTTGCCATGACGACTCAAATCTTTGCCTGGGTGCCCCCCCCCCACCCTTGCCTCTTCCAGCCAATAGTGCCTCTCCCTCCCGCCCTTGCATCATGCAGTATTGCAAGGGAAGGCGGCATTCTCGTGCAAGTCCGAGGAAATTTATTGAATGGGAACACAAGTGCAGATTTAACAATATATATGGTATCGTTTGTAGATATTTGTCTTTAGTAACTAGGTTCTTTGATGTAAATTTAGTATTTAGTTTGCGTTTACGAATTAAAATTTGCCAAAAGTAGTTTCTGTAAACTACCAAACCCCCTCTATTAGTACTATATAATTGGTAGCCAATGTACTTTTTAAGTACTGTTCATCAAAACATTGTATTGGGAGACCAATACAGTGTTAGGTAAATTTGCCTTCCAAGAAGGTAAACTGTCTTGCGTAAGGTATTTTCAGCTATACACAATTTACCAGAGACTGAACTGTGTAGGACCCAAAGTTCACAGCCACAGCAAAGATGGTTAAGCAATTACACTATCGACCAGGTACCAAGAGGACATTGATCAAACTCTCCTGAATATGTTAGAGGTTTTAGTTGAAGATTTTGATCATACGCGAGTATAGTATTATAGTGTGTGCGTGGGGGGGGGGGGTGAGCTAAGATGCTATAAGATTACATACCAAGTTATATTTAGCGCTCACATCTATGGTAGATGTTTGAATGGCTTGATTAACGAAACGGTCTGTGACTGCCACCTTTATTGGATCTTGACTCATTAACAGTAGGTAAGGGGTGGACAGTATACCTCATTAATATAATAATGGAAGCTTTTTTTTGTTTCGCAATTTGAAAAAAAAGCCTAATGTGTTTAACTTTGCCAAATTTGTTGGGAATATTTAATAGCAGAACTATCATGCCATTTGAAGGGTATTTATATATTGTTTATAGATTATATTTATATATGAAAATATATATTGTGCACATCTCGCTAAATACATAATGTATTTTACACAACAAACATTCCTTAGTTCCGTTTATAACAGAATTCAGAACTTCTCTGAGGGAGAATAAACTTAATTTCCTCATGAAACTTTAGGTGATAGTTTCCTGGACATATTGCTACACCGAGGCAATAATGGCTAGGATTAGTTTCCTTAATAGACGCTGTAATGCACCTGCCTGCAACCGAGACTTAATTAAACTGTTTAATATAAACTGGTCTAGTTCTGGAGAAGTGGTGTGAGTGGTTAATACATTAGCATTGTACTTGAAAGGGGAATGCTTCAGTTCTTGGTTCTCTGCTCTCAAACGTCAGTTAAATACTGCACAGGATCACGGCCCCTTTGTGATCTGTCATATCTATATTTAAAAGACGTACGTGGAGTCTGTGCTCGGGTTCATCCTATATAGATACCATCATATTGAAAATATTTTAAAATTAATATTGTTCTTCATTGTGATATTTTTCATTTGATCATGCCTCCCGCGTCTCTCACTTTTTTTTAGTGACGCCAGGTTTAGTTCCTTACTCTTTCTTCGTATCTGTTGGTGCTTTTCGGCTCTGGAGGTAAGTAAATAATTATCAAAAGAAGGCACCAAGCCGAATCTGGGGGTATACTTACGGACCTCCTTCAGGCCTGTTTTATATTTGATATGTATTCCATGCTGGAGTTACGTATTTAAAATTAGGCTAACAATGGTGCACAAGAGAGAGGCGTGCACCATTGAGTAAAAGAGCGTCTTTTATTCAAATTTGTGATGGAAACCGTATATTTGCCAATCTTGCATTTGTAGCTGAAAATACCCGGTTGATGTGTGTTCCAAAGATCTGTTGTGGTGTTTACCCAATGCTCACCTTAAGAATCTTAATTCCAGCGGTAAACATGTAAACAAAGACATAATACATGATACAGTACATATGGTACTTTTGAATATATTCACATCCTTTACTGCCTACCAATACCAAATGATATTTACCCTGTATATGAATCAAATATACCTCGAAGTGACTGCCAAGTGGTGTTCGTTTCCTCTTTAGCGTTGACACAGGTCTCGGCAACTCGGCAATATTTGTCACTGACCTGTAGCCTAATAATAATGCTTGTCTATACCGGACTCGTATTGTCTTAAAAATTAGCAAAGTTTTTTATTATATGTTTACATAAGCAAATATATCTTCTGGCCAAGTGCAACTGTCCCTAATTCATTTTTAGAGAATCTAACACATAAATAACCAATATTTGCGTATGCCAGAATGCACTTTTAAACATTTATGTACATAAAGAATATCACTATACGAATATTAATTACCAATTTGGATGGGCTCGCTGTCAACTGCAATGCTGTAGTCTAAGCTGTAACTGATGTGCTGGGCAACTGGCGGTTCAGTCATGGCTGGCCAAGAGGCCCAGGTGGTGGTGGAGACGGGCGTCTCCGTCTTAGCTGGCTTCACCTGGGAGCCTCATTGCCTGAGATATTCGACGCGTTGCTTCCCGGACTTCTGCAGTGTGATCAGATGACTTGTGCACTTGATCAGATTGCCAGGAAACTGGAAGGTAAGGGATGAGGTTCGCAATATTGACGTGATGTCCCGTTTTTTTATTCGTGGGTCCTCTTGTTAGGTTAGGTATGGGCAATTTAGTACATCAGTTTAGTGTGTGAACGCTGGAGAGAGCGGCCTGGCGTGAGAGCCTTTAGGGTTAAAGAATACAATTAATTGTCCTTTCGAAGAAGAGGATTGTTTTGCTTCATTTATTATGCACCCCATACCAATCCTGTGGGCGGTAGTAGAGAAGGTTTGAGGCACATAATGGGCTTAGGAATTGACTCCAAAATTCATTTAGCTAAGCGAGTTAGTCTTGATAAGCTAGTTACATAGTTTAGTGTATATATCAAGTCTTTCTTTATAGCATAATGAGCTCAACAACTGGACCACGACCATTTTACATCGAGTAATTTATGTTTAAAAGGTGAAACATCGCAAAATATTACCTTGAACACCTGATCGCAAGGGCATAAGAACACAGGTTATAAAGGGTTAAATTGGCAAACCATTTTTTATTTCACATTAATTCCCATGTATAATTTGTTAATGGCATTAGACTATATGTAGGTCCTAGTAGTAGCAAAGTTGTTATAATAGTATACCATAGTCTAGACAAACGTACGACGAGGGTTTGTATACAATATACTAAAAAGTATTCCCCCCATTTCTCAGTGTATACACATTTTTTTTATTTATTTATTTTATTTTATTTATATATATACAAGAAGGTACATTGGGTTTGTGAGAATACATTGGATAGTACAGTATTTACATTCTTGTAAAGCCACTAGTACGCGCAGCGTTTCGGGCAGGTCCTTAATCTAGCAGATAATTTTAAGTAGGTAATTTCAATCAGAATTGATAAATGAAAGATACATTACAAGAGAAAAATGAGATGAGAGAGATAAGTAAGTATATTAAAGCACATTGTTATATTAAAGCTCTGATTGATTACATTGACAGCTTGATTAGTAATTTAAACAAGATTAATAGACACCATACAGCAGATTGACAGCACATATAAGACAGCAATGATCACAATGGTAAAGATGTTCAGAATGGGTACATAAAGATTGGGAGACTGGGTAGCAAAAGATACAGATAACAAGATTTATAAACACCATACAACAGATTGGCAGCACATATAAGAAAACAGCAATGATCACAATGGTAAAGATGTTCAAATTGGGAACATAAAGGTTGGGAGATTGGGTAGCAATAGATACAGTGCAATTTTAAGGCAAAAAGTGAAAAACTATGAAGATGAAATTAGGTACTTTTTAGTATTGATTTTGAATGATGTAAAAGTTGGACAGCTTTTCAATTCAGTAGGGAGTGAGTTCCATAAACTGGGTCCCTTTATTTGCATAGAGTGTTTACACAGATTAAGTTTAACTCTGGGGATATCGAAGAGATATTTATTTCTGGTGTGGTGATAATGGGTCCTATTACATCTGTCCAGGAAGAGTTTCAGACAAGGATTTGCATTTAAGAACAGGGTTTTGTAAATGTAGTTGACACAGGAGAATTTGTGGAGTGAGATTATGTTTAGCATGTTTAGGGAGTTAAACAAGGGGGCTGTGTGTTGTCTGAAAGCAGAATTTGATATTATTCTGATAGCAGATTTTTGCTGGGTGATGATGGACTTGAGGTGGTTTGCAGTGGTTGAACCCCATGCACAGATACCATAGTTGAGATAGGGATAGATTAGTGCATAATATAGAGAGATGAGAGCAGAGTTAGGAACATAATATCTGATTTTGGAGAGTATACCAACTGTTTTAGAGACTTTCTTAGTTATGTGTTGTATGTGGGTACTGAAGTTGAGTCTCTTGCCTAGGAATATGCCAAGAAACTTTCCATCATTTTTATTGCTAATGTTTACATTGTCAATCTGAAGCTGAATTGCATTTGTAGATTTGCTTCCAAATAGGATGTAGTAGGTCTTTTCTATGTTAAGTGTTAGTTTGTTGGTTGACATCCATAAGTGGACTTTTTTTAGTTCATTATTAACAACATCATTTAGTGTATGTGGGTTGGGGTTGGAGTAAATGAGGGTAGTATCATCAGCAAACAAAATAGGTTTCAGAATGTTAGAGACATTAGGCAGATCATTAATGTATATAAGAAATAGTAGGGGGTCCCAAGATGCTGCCCTGTGGCACTCCAACGGTTATTGGTAGAATGGGAGAGATTATATTATTGATGGCTACACATTGGTGTCTATCACTAAGATAGGACTGGATATAGTCCAGTGCATGGCCTCGGATTCCATAATGATGGAGTTTACATAAGAGGTAATCGTGATTAACAGTATCAAAGGCCTTTCTCAGGTCAATGAAGAGTCCAATTGGAAACTCATTTTTGTCAAGGGCTGAGTAAATTATATCAAGGAGACTAATAATTGCATCGTTGGTACTCTTTTGAGAGCGGAAGCCAAACTGACAGGGGCTAAGAATGTCGAATTTTACGAGATAGGAGTAGAGCTGTTTGTAGATAATTTTTTCAAATATTTTTGATAGTATGGGTAGGTTCGATATTGGTCTGTAGTTGTTTATGTCTGACGGATTACCTCCTTTATGAACTGGCGTTACTCTTGCGTTTTTAAGGATATCAGGGAAGGTATGACACTCAAGGGATTTGTTGAACAGCAGAGCTATAGGTGGTGCAAGGGCATGGGAGGCGCTCTTGTATACAATGGATGGGATTTCACTGATGTTCCCAGCTTTGGTTTTTAGTGAGTGTATGATGGACACAACATCTGACGGGCTGACTGGTGAGAGGAGAAGAGAGTTTGGATAGCTGCCTGAGAGATATGTGTTGATATGTGTCTGAGTCTGTGGGATTTTACTTGCAAGGTTAGCACCAACCGATGAAAAGAAGCTATTAAATTCATTCGCCATTTCTAGGTCAGATGACAGTGTAAGGCCATCCTTAGAGAGTGTTATATGGTTGTGGGAGTGTTGTTTAGTTCTCAGGATGTTAGAGATGGTATTCCATGTGCTTTTCATGTTGCCTTTTGCTTCTTTGAATCTAGTCTCATAATATGAAAGTTTTGCTTTTCTTATGATACTGGTAAGCACTGATGAGTACCTTTTAACTACTTCCATTGAAACTAGGCCACTCCTAAATTTCTTTTCGTATTCATGTTTTTTGTTGATTGATTTAATTATGCCACTTGTGAGCCACGGGTTATTTTTTCTTTTATCAGTTACTTGTGATACCCCTCGAGGCTGATAAGCTTTGGTCAACTGCCAAACCAAAAGTAGAAAGCACACAGCAACGGTAATTTTATTCGGCAATAGATTAGGAGGTGGTAGGAGAGGGAGGGTGACATTAGCACGACGAGGGGCACTGCGAGCCGGATGGTCTGGCGACGCAACAGTACTCTGGGTGTTGGCAAGAGTGACTGTGGTTAACAAGTAGGAAACACGAGAATTGCAGTGGGCACGGGTGTGCAGATGATGGGAAGTTTATGAGGAAGACGGAATGACTCGTGTGCTCTAGTTGTCAGTACTCATCGTGAAGATCAGCAATAGTTGCCAGTACTCATAGTGAAGATCAGCAAGAGTCTTCTAGGTCTTCCTGATGGTTAGTACTCGTCGTGGAAGGGGTAGTACGGGTGATCACTTATTCTAAAAGAAAGAAAATCTTAGATCAACAAATATGTAATAATAAAATTCTGAATTTAGGTGTTCATAGATAAAGCGATTAGAATTTAACGAAAACATGAATTATGCTCTAAAATCTAAACGATAATGCCTTATAATTAATATCTAGTCCTTGTACCAAATTCAATTATAAGTTTCCATTAAATATGCAAGATTGTTTTGAAAGATCCGCGTTGTTTATAGATTTATCTACTCTGAACTAAAGTGTCCATGTAGCACGGGCTATAGTGAGCGTAAAAGATCCCCGTTGTTGTCTTAGATTCGGCTACTTGGAACAAAAAGTTCCAAGTAGTCAACCCGTTCTCGCAAATTTAATAAGTCAATATTGACTTATTAGTTGCGTGCATAGGTGACATACTTAACATAATAGTTTCCCTTGAAAAGCTTGATAGAAAACACCGACCTTACCTAACCTACTTAGTATGTTAAGATAAGCATCTTATTGCTTGGTAATTACAATTATTACCTAACCTATACCTATAATAGGTTAAGTAACAATTGTAATTACGAAGCTATAAGATGCTTATTTTAACATACTAAGTAGGTTAGGTAAGGTCGGTGTTTTCTATGAAGCTTTTCAAGGGAAACTATTATGTTTAGTATGTCACCTATGCACGCAACTAATAAGTCAATATTGACTTATTAAATTTGCGAGAACGGGTTGAAGTAGTACGGGCTATGATCAGCCCGTAGTGGACTTACCTAGCACAGGAGCGGGCTGTAAGTGAGTTGTGGTGAAATCCGCGTAAAGCTCCCCCTAATAAACACACACGTGCACCTGACGTGCTCTTTGAATTAGAAACGTGTAGAGGGGGTACAATGAAAAATTATATCCCCCTTTGAACACATCCACAGCGTGATGATAGGGAGGGGAAGGCCTCAGAAGAGGCAGTAGTGGAAACAAATAAAATAATATATATATATTATAAAAACTACACAACCTACAGGAGGGGTCGATTAATGGCAGGGTTTAGATTTCTATAAAGAGAGGTCGTGTTCACTATCATAGGCAATGTAGACCCAGCACACTCACTGGGAGCAGGGAAACTCCCTGTTCCCGACAAAGACAAACCAATTCAAAGACGCTCAATCTTTCAGAGACGCTGCTACTCACTCGTTGGAATGACAGACGCGGCCGTTGCACTCTAAGCTCTCCAGAAGCTCTATGTCCTCTGCTGATAACTGGAAGTCCCATACCTACAACATTAATAATGTTTTTACAACTTATCCTCAAGGTATGGGCTGAGTAAATGTAAATGTTTTCATTATTGGCGCATCATTAAGTTAAAACTTCATGGAAATGACAAACAAATCAAACGTGTCTCCTTACCTGGATGTTTGCCTCGATGCGAGACTTTGTGACAGATTTAGGGATCACTATCAGGCCGCGGTCAAGCTGGAATTGTTAGTTTTATCAGAACTACACTTTTACGTACAACATAGGAACCAAAAAATAGACAGGAGGCCGCCTATTGTCCCAGGCTAGACAACGGCTATTATTACCCAACCAAAGATCCTTTTATGTGACTAACCTACACTTTAAAGAAGTCAATGATCCTACACTTCAAATAAAAATGCAACTAGTTTCTACAGGTGTAATTTGATCATTTTAACAATTAAATTGCTGGTGTGCTTTTTCCTTTTTGCGATAGGCAACATCGCGAATTGGTACCATGTATTGGAGTCTTTAAGATTGGTTCAAGAGCCACTGAAAATTTTGTATCGCAAATTTTCAGATGATGCTGACCTGGAAGCGGATTAGGATTTGTGCAGGCGACTTCTTGTACTTCTCTGCCAGCGCCCTGACCTTTGGCTCCTCCGTCAGCACTGGGTCACTCCGTGTTGCCCACGGTCTGATGATAGCAGGATTTATTATAATTATTTAAACGAGCAGAAATGCGAAAAACAAGCTTATTCGGGTTTTATTCTTGAGTTTCAAGTTTTCCTGAAACTCTCTTATAAATTTATAACGCAATATGAGAGGCACAGGTCCTGACCTGTCCGGGGAGCCGAGGGGACTGTAGGCTGTCACAGTGATGCCTTTCAGTTGGCAAAATTCTATCAGCTTCTTTTGGTTTAAATATGGATGTGACTCGATCTGAAAGATTCGTGTCTGAAATTAATGATTTATTCATATTTCTCATAACATTTTATTATCTTTTTCAATTATTATAAATTAAAGGTGAATTTAACACAGCCGATTGTTGCAGCTCCACCATTACCCACCTGGTTGTTAACCACGGGGACCTTGGCCACTTCAAGGACACGTTCCAGTTGCCTCTTGTTGAAGTTGGAGACCCCGATGGACGTCGTCAGGCCGAGGCTCACACACTCCTCCATTCCCGCCCAGGTGTCCACGTAGTCTGCGTCGCTGTACAGCATCTTTCCCGTGGCGTCTTGTGGCAGCATTTCGCCACCCTCCTGAAGGTTTAGTAGCAATGGTAGCCTAAAGAATTTCTAGTCTGCTCTTTTTGAGCCTTAACACACTTGATTTGGTGTTTGGCTTTAGGTCAGTCAAGCGTGGGAGGGTTAAGGCAAGGTTAAGGCTACTGCAATAGCTTAATGACCAACCAGCAAGTATAGTAGAGCGCTGAAGTATTGTATATTCAGAACTAAAGTAAACTGTTATCAAGGACAGAGATATATACACAGATCTTCCCAGCTTCTACATGAATATACACTGAAAGTTGACACAGTATAGTGAGTCTTGAACTATGTTCAGGACTCGTGTATACTTGCGGTGTGATGATAAAGCTATTAATAAACCCTTCCGTGGATAACAAAGGTCTTGCCTACTGCTCGCATGTTCTACATTGGATCGCAGAGCACTCTCATGTATTCATAAAACGAATCGAATGATGTATCCCTCGTGAGAACTGACCTTGAAGCCTGTAGGCCAGTGTATAAGGTAGAGGTCGAGGTAGGAGAGGCCCAGGTGGGCGAGGGTGGTGCGCAGGGCGGGCACCACAGACTGCCTCTGGTGAGCAGTGTTCCACAGCTTCACTCATAACATGTAAATAAACATTACAGGTTAGCTCTATAGTTTCCCACTGTCAGGGATAGGAAGTCATGTCCACCACCGTCTTCCCCTTACTCATCTTGGGTTAAGATGCGATCCTGATTGATCCCCCAAGCTATCAACTTAAGTATGTGATCCACAACAGTTGACGAACTCCCAGGTACAAATTTACTGTTAAATGAACATTCAAAAATGTTTTTAAAACAACTTGGACCATTGCTCTGTTGGGCGTGTGTTCCTTGTTAAGTGATCACATTTAGATAAGGAACCATCCATCAGGTACGCTCCGAACTCCTTTTAATAAAGTTGCTACTTTAAATGTCCAAACAATTTGCTTACATCATGAAGGACAATGTATGATTGAACAACTTCACGTTAAGAAAATAAATTGTCGATACAAAGTTCATTAATTTCAAATGACAGTAAGGCAAATATGAATCTCTGAAATTGTCAAAAATGGTAACAATTACTATACATTTTATTTTCTTAGTCTGAACTCTAAAAGCAAAGATTAAACTTGTATTGGACTTGCAGACGTAATTGCTTCTGTATAATCTAACCCATATACAGCAGCATATAATCTGCTATTCCATTCAATACTTGTAAGCAATTGCAATTTAATTATATAAAACATGAAAATATGCAAAACAATTCTCTTCAATCAAAATAATAAGAATACTTAAATGACACAATGAAAAGACGTTAAGGCAAAATAACAAGAAGTGCAACACAAAGATGAACAATTCAGACAGTTTAAGGAGATTATCACAATTCTTTAAAAGAATGAACTCGTCCCCGATTATCAGCTGTAATTGTTGTATGGAGATAAAGTATTACAAAATTTACTCTGCAAATTTTTAGCAAGCTAAAATAACTTTTTCAAGTAGAGCGTCGTCTACTATATTGTCAGTCTGTCAGACCTGGCCATACCAATGGGATTTCAAATAACCTTTATTGTTGTCTTAAAGGCTCTGCTTAAATGAAAGCAACGCAAGGGTTGTGTTTATAGATTTTGAATACATTTGACCTTGTGTGAAAGTGGTGGATAGCAATGAGACGAACTATAGTTATCATTCAGCCGCAACCGTGACCTTGCATGACGTTGGTCAGGCGACACTCGTATTGACACTTCATTAACCTTTCTATGTAGTATATATCGTTGAAATGGAAGTGAAGCTTGAGAACAGTTTCCAGAAAAGTCTAAAATTTGTAGATGCGTTGAATACAAGCTCGTCGAACGCTGCCATAGTTAGCCGCATATATGAAACTATAATTGATAAGAATCACTTTGGTGCACATGATAAGATTAGCATTGAGCCAATCTGCGCTATACGGCTTTCTATTGATAGAAAACCTTGTTTTATCGTATAGTCTTAAAATCTAAGGTCCGCCACTTTCGTATAGTCTCACAGTATAAGCGCAACTGTAATGTTGCCAAGTCGACTGCATGCCCATACGAAATTAACAAGATACACACACACATTGCAGACAGAGCAACAGGGACATTTCAATGGGGAGTCCTTTACCTTGCTAGTAATGAATAGTTGGTCGCGAGTGACGGTGCCATCCTGGATCTTGGCCGTGATGGCGGCGCCTACCTCGGGTTCATTATCATAGAGATGAGCACAGTCGATGTGGCGGTAGCCGGCTGTGATGGCCGCCTTCACTGCCGCCGTCACCTCCCCGGGCTTAGACTGTGAAAAGGTGAACTCAGGTTTAGTTTATTTAAAATAGTTTACAAATGTAGTAAGATGCATTATTAGAAAGTTTAAGTTATTAGAAATAACATTTTACACCATGCTGTGTATTATCCACATAAATTAGCCTCAGGTTAATATCGCACGAATCTGTGTACTCAGTATATCTTTATTTGACGTTTGGGATTTTGATGTCAAAATATGGTAGTATGCTCGACCCGTCTTTCGAATTATTTTGACGTGTAAACCCCTTAAGGCCAAAAACTGATGTGCTACAAAACATGACGACTCGCAAAATTGATGTGATCTTGTTTTCTATTCGTGGGTCCTCGGTTAAGAGAGATTCTGGGAATTTAATAAATCATTTAAGTGACGTTGTGAGCGTAGCTATTGTTAGGAAAAGGACGTCTGTTAAGCTTGTCAAAGTCCCTCACCTAAGCCAGCTCCTTGCCTTCCTGAGGAGGCAATGAGATCTGTCCCCAGGAAGGAAATCTGCTCACGGTAATAGATTCACGACTACGTGATTAGTGTTATTATCAAATATCTATCCATGGCTAGGATAGGTTAAGGTCTAATAAGGTTTCATTACGTTAATACGGTGTAATATTGTCCATAACGTGAAATATGGATTTAGAGAAAAATTTAAGTGTGCCCTTGAATTTTGTTCACAGAAAACCAAATTATTCAAGACTGTTTTCAAGAAAACGTGTTCAGCATGAACTTTCATATTTAAGCAAACTATTTATAATATAGTTATAGCTTGAAAATAATCTCCGTTTAGAACAAAGGTTCATTGCCAATTTACAAGTAGACTATTACCGGAACTGTAATATGCTTTCACACCTCTATAGTAGACTAACTTCTGGGTATACCTGTTTACGTCGTGTAGTGGTGGTCATGGGTATAGGAATACAAGTCAACATTTATACAATAGACTTATATTTCTCCAATCCTGAACCTGTTTTCTTCTAAAGTAAATCATTATTGGAAAGAAATAACAAACGATGAACAGTGTTATGAGGCTGGGTTGTTTGGTGACGCCCAATGAACAAGTCTATGTCGTCCAGAGTCTGGGTTAATTAAAACTATTTCACTAACGAAGTTATAATTTTTTTTAACAGCATTGCGAAAGTGTAACGCTAACGTAGTTTAAAAAATGATGCACAGTTAAGTAAATAATAATTCGTTGTGTCGGGGACAGGCAGCCAGAGTGTATTCATACACGTTAGGGTAATATCTAATATCAGATAAATTACTAGCAGATTACTGCTAGACTAATTTTGCTAGTATTTACCTACTTAAAATTTTCTTAGATTAAGTACCTGCCCGAAACGCTGCGCGTATTAGTGGCTTTACAAGAATGTAATTACTATGCTATGTATCCTCACAATCCCAATGTACCTTCTTGTATATAAATAAATAAATAAATAAATATATCAAGGTCCTCTCACTTCCCCTCCCACTAAGGTCGAAATTACTGACCCCGCCCGGGATGCAACCCCACAAGAAGCTAACTTCTGAGTACCTACTTACTGCTAGGTGAACAGGTGCATTAGGTGATAGGAAATGCGCCTAACCATTTCTGTCCCGCCCGGGATTCGAACCCGAAATTCTCGATTTAGTAGAGAACGAACCAGAGTGCACTACCGGGTTTCCAGTAGAAGGAATTGAAGAAAACCGCTAAAGCCTCATACTTGATACGTAATCATACCAAGCGTGCGGAGAGGTATTATCACTGTATATACAACATCGATTTTACTTAACAATTTTAATTTGTTAGGTACTCAAATTTATTTGAAATGTTAAAGTAAATTGGTAAAACCATATGATGAGATTGTGGTTTTAATATTGGACATGTTTGTTGAGATGCCTCATAATGTTGTCGTTACATATACAGTACAGGTAAATCACTTCAGAATATTAAATAATACTTGATTATTGTTGCAAGAGTTAAAGAGATAATTTGTTCATTATATAAATGTTAAATCTTACAAAAATTATAGGACTTACTTTCCATGTCCCAAGTCCCAGTGCAGGAATTGACTTTCCATTTGCGAAGTTAATGCTACGAACTAAGGCAGCCATCAAGAAGAGGAATGTAGAGAACTAGTGGGGAGAGACAGCGTGTATCCTCGGCACCAGCTCGCCACAGACTGCCACAATAGCCTAGCGCTCAATCTATCAATGCAAGTTTACCACCCGCTGGGATGGTGGGGGTAATAAGGAAGAATGTCAGCGGGAGGGAGAGTGAGAAGGTGTCTTGCAGGAGAGGACGGTTGATGGGCAGTCTTTGTGGAGATGGTTGTAGGAAATAAGTGGTATTTAGGGGATGAGGTATTAGGAGAGCGGTGGGGAGGGGGAGGGGGAATTACATTGGAGTAGAAAGAAGGGGAAATGGGTACCCTGGAAACACAAACCGTAAATGTCTTTATTTTCCGCTTGTTACAACTTGTAATAAAGTTGTTACATCTTGGCTTAACGTGTTTATGACGTATTAGAACGTTGTTACAACGTGTTATATTGGTTGTTATAACTGGTTAGGAGGTGTTAAAACTTGTTCGAACGTTGTACCAACGTTGTAGTTTCGGTGTGTGTTTGGCGGGATATAGTCTTGGTGCATAGAAAATTGTGATTGTATAGAGCTCAGGGATGGGGAAACAGAAGAGAATTGAAAATTATGTGTAAGGGGCTGCTGTTGATTAGAGGGGGCACTTCAGTGTGGGAGAGCAACTGTGGGAAAGGCAGTATGGAGAGTGTGGGAGAAGACAGATAGAGGGTCTGCTTGAAGGGTGTGGGGGTAATATCAGTGGGTGGGTGAGGTGGAGAAAGTGGGGATGGGGGTTATGGATGAGTAGTCATGCTGAGAATGCAGTTGATGTATCCTGTGCTGTCATACTTGAGTAATCTCCCAAGTTTCCCAAATGTTTATTTTTCCGATATTTATTTATTTTTTTGCATAGTGGCTCAATGTACGCTTTTCTGGAACCTGGCAAATCCAACACATACTTTATTTGTAGTGAAAATAGACGAGCATTCATCCCCAATTTTGGTCTCTGGAGGACAAGTTCTTGTCCTCTTATGACTTTATCTAATTATAAATATTGTATACTTATTTTATCTATGGCAATTAATACAATGCCTTCTCATTCATTGTTTTCTATTATGTTGGTATCAATGTGGAATATCCAATCAAGTATACTAATAAATATCCAGTCAAGTATACTAATACAAAAAATATATATTTTCTGAATTATTTATTTCAAAGTGGCTTTTTATTGACATCAATTAATTTTCTCCTAAATGTTCTTAGGTTATTTTTCAAGATAGTTAACTAAATGAAGTTATAGAATACAATTATTTTATCAGATTTTCTATGGATGCAAGTCTGTCATTGGTCTGTCCTTCTCAAACTCACTCCTAATTGGTTATTATGCGCACCCCACACTCATCCTATGAGCACAAGTGGAAAAGTTGAGGCATGTAATGGATTCGGGCATTCAGCCCCAATATTCTCTTATCTAAGTTAATCTTTTACTTTAAAAACGAGTGTGTGCACTATTTATAAAGCTTATCACCATGACCAAGAGACCTTAACACCAGTTTAATTTATTATGGACCCCATCCTAAGAGTGAGACAGTTTAGATTCATATAATTTAAAGTGCTGGACACTAAGTCGAGTTCAAAGTCAAACCATTTACATTTGTGGATAGTTTATCATGTGTATACCCTACCTACAGTAAGTAAACTTGGGCTACTTACCTAAAATTTATGGTAGTACTATACCTCTTAGAGTAAAATAGAATTATCACAAACGTTCACAAAATTATCAAATTTCTTTACATTCTATCTAGGCAATTTTTAGGCAAAACTTAATTTCTATTAACTTTTTTTCTTCTCCTGATGTGGCATTTAATTGATCCTCCTGTATGTAGTCTTAACTCTTGCGTATCAATTCATTTTGAGTCACCAGCACACTATGATGTTTAATTTCCAAAAGGCATAGATAAAGTCGTTCTTACGTTTTAGTCACAGAGATTAGATATTAGTAAAGTTAGAAGTTAAAGTTCATTTTATTCAGGAAAGTACATAAATAGTCGATTTACAAACATAATATTGGATTTATAGATAGAGCTAGTACATACAATACCTAAAGCCACTAGTACGCATAGCGTTTCGGGCATATTATTGAGAGAGGAAAGATATTTATATTTAAACATTTTTTTTTTTACCGACGCTCTCCCTATTGATGAGAACTACAACCTAATGAAGATAAATGTTAATTTTATGTAGATACTGTAATAAACGAAAGTTTTTAATGTCATCAGAGAAGCAGAAATATAGGCAAATTTTAAATCCCTTGTCATAAATATAACTGAAGTGAAAGCAAAGATATATGCATTTTGATAGTTACAAAGACAGCTCTTTAACACGGGTGGAACACGAACAAGGGGAACTTAGTACCCAAATGAGCCACAGAGATATTAGAAAGAATTTTTTCAGTGTCAGAGTAGTTAACAAATGGAATGTATTAAGCAGTGATGTGGTGGAGGCTGACTCCATACACAATTTCAAATGTAGATGTGATAGAGCCCAATAGGCTCAGGAACCTGTACACCTGTTGATTGACGGTTGAGAGTCGGGACCAAAGAACCAAAGCTCAACCCCTGCAAGCACAAATTAGGTGAGTACAACTAGGTGAATACAGCTGAGGGGCGGGACCAAACAGCTGAAGCTCAATTCCCTACGCATAACTAGGCGAGTCCATAGGAATTACCGTTTGTCCTGGCGCCATCTATGTTTTGACAGCAGTACTACTAATGTTCCCACGTTATGTGATGATCGCTATACGGGTGTTACGGTCAGTTGCTCTTCTATATATGTTTATGGACAACGTAGGTGATTTGAGGCAATTTGCGGCCAGAGTGAAATAGTATCCACGCGGTGAGTGATGGAGGAGGATATATACTGCTGTGTACTCGACCAGCGGGTGAGAGGTAAGTTATATCGAACAATTATGGGGAATAGATGGGTTATTTTAAGCGTAGAATGTCAGGTAACCGGTAACTACACAGATGGGGTAGTGTTTTTTTAAGTCTTTATTTACTAAAGTGGAACATTACATTATGCCTTTAGCTGAACAAGTCTACTGGTGGGGGAAGTAGACGGGTTTTATGAAAGTATTTTACCTAAATATTTGTATTTGGTTAACTAGTTCAGCCGTTACCAGGGAGGGTGTTCCTTTAATCTAATCTAAAAATTCTAGCCGGACAAAGTGATTAAATAAAGAAATTGAATAGAACGAAGTGGTTTGCCAGGGTGCTTAACATTTAGTTTAGTTCACTTACTATGCAGCCCATGCTTAAAGAATGCAAGTTTATCATATTGAATTTACCGTAGTTTTACTGCATTTAATATACCGTTTTTACCCTATTTAATTATGTCGGGTAAAGGCCGGTCGTGGAAAGTTCCTAATATAGCAAGTTTTAAAGGAAAAGTTTGAGTTAACTTTAACGCTTAAGTTAGTGACCAATTAGCTTAGTCTATTGTGAGGAAAGTTACTAGAATCTAACATTGCAAGTGCCATTTCTCTACTCTTTTTGAGAAACATGACTAGATACATGAATCGCATAGTTTTATTACTAAATGTTCATGGATTAGGTTGCATAGTTGAGGAAATGGTGATAAGGTTTGTGATTTTGTGTACCTTGACTTCAGCAGAGATTTTGATAGTGGCGCAAAATTGATAGGGGCTCGGATCATTGGGAATGCTGACTGAAGTTGATTAGGTCATGGCTATACCAAAGGAAATTAGTATAAATGGGGTTAAGTTGGGAGAAGTGTTGTAAGTAGTGCCTAAAAGCTCTCCTTGGACCTCGGTTATTCGCAAGATTATGGTTTAGACTGCAATAGTTGCAGAATTGGCAAATAAAAAATACCGATGCCCTATATAGTTTTGAAATGGTTAAGACTACCAGATGCAGTTTAATGCTGACAAATGTAAGGTTTGGGGGCTAGGTAAAGATGAGATAGATGGTGTAGATTGTTAAGAGTATTAAATTTTTTGCAGGTGGTAAATTCTCCCCGAGCTGGCACTGCTCTCCAGCCTGGGATGTTGATTGGTTAGTCTTCAACTGCCTCCCAACATGGTAGTGAGGTCCTGAGCTGACATGCAGTGAGGAACGTGGAAAGCTTCCTGAATTGGCACATGGTATGCCTCCCTTTCAAACCAGCAGCTGGCACAAATGTTCCAGCTAACATCAGAATAGTGGATGAAGCCCACACTAAAATGTAAGTGGTACAGTAAATGGACAAATTTTGACACTGAACAGTTGGGAGGAAGGGGGGGGGGGGGTGATAGTTGGCTTTTGACAAAGTGCTGAACATAATATTTGTAATTGTTTTATTCAAATGTTATACATGGTTGTTAAATTAAAGTTTGTTTGCAATGTTCCAGAAAAATGTTAATGACTAAAGTTGTTGGAAAATAAAATTTGTATAGGATGTTGACTTGAAATGACTATAGCTTTGTTTGTAATAAAGATGGGACAACAAGATACTTAGTGTGCCATTTAAAACGGCAACTGTTAAACTGGTGGTACAGGCATGAACAAAATAACATCGCTATGCAAATAACTTTTTAGTAATATTTACTGTTCACATGACAGGTTGTGGAAGGTCCTGGCAACAAAGAGCTGCAGGAAAATACTTGCAGATCTACAGTAAGTAGTGTTGTGTACATTGGAATTAGAGGGTAGAAGTTAATTGCTAAAAACCTATTAAATATTAGGGTATGGAAGTCTAGGCTTAGGCTAGTGGGTACCATATCTGCAAGTTTAGTCCTTTCAGGAATGTATTGAATAGAATGGTATGTTGAAATTGTGAAAATTGTAATGTGGGGCATTAGATCTTAAACAGCATAGTTGAGGGTGTTTTATTAATAATTTTAATGAAATATAAATCTTGTTTAGTTAACATTAAATGTTTGTTAAATAAGCTTTAATCTATAAATGTATAACACTGTTAAGGGTAATCATGAGTCAAAGTTAATGGCAGGAAAAGTTTTGTTCTAAGTGATGGTATTTTTCCCTTGAAAGTAAAAAAAATATTCAATGTTTACTTTAGCTTGGTTTTAAATTTATATAGTTTTCCAGAATGTGGTTTGGAAAGT